AGAGGCATAAACAGAACCAAGAATTCTGCTCTTTAAAAGCAAAAACAAGACAACCTCCCCCTCTGCCTGTGTTATTTATTTAACCATTAGCACTTACCCTGAGATGTGCCATAAACGCTTTATTCCACATGTATAAAAGCCAATCACATCTCAACTGAGAATGAAACAGTTTTAATGTCTTTAAATCCATGTTCCTGCTCCAAACCCTGATACAGACAGGCACTGGCAGTGGTACAAGAGTTCTAAACAGCAGACATCTGATTCTTGACATTTAAAAATAACAATATTGGGGGAAAGGGAGTCTTTCTTTTTTAATTAACTAAAAGCAGCTTGTGAGCGGAGCACACGCCTCCAATTGACCGTGTTGACCGAAAGGGCAGCGATGCCCAGCTAGAGTACCTGGTTTTTAAGGCTGGGTCAGGCACAGGCTAAATGCTGATAGATTTCTCATTTTCTGTGGAATTCGCTAATGTTTAGATTCTATCATTGGTGACTATTAACTGGACTGCGTTCAGTCTCAAATCAAATGAGTGACATTTCACTGAGTGTCCGGTGGCTTGCCAGTCATTCCATTGCCAACTCTATACCTGTGCCCTCTTAATGGCGTCGGCTCTGGAGGTCAAGCACACAGGTGCATTTGCAAAGGAGTGAAAATGTGGGAAAAAATACAGAAATGCATTTATTTCTATTTCCACAACACTGTGGAAGTGGTAGACATGGGGCTGACTTAGTTCACCCGCTGCTCCTGCTGGCTCCTGGCAGATGACTGAGCCGTCTACACTTAGTGCACCTGCGACAGGAAAGTCTAGCTGTGCTTTGCAAAGTTGCTTTGAGTCCTCAGTGGGATGTAGACACAGACGGCTTCCGAAACACTAGATACTTCACTGACGTGGCTTCCAGCCTCTGCCTTGTGTTTAAAGGGGGCAAGGATTGGCCCTGCTCAGTAGAAAGAATGCAGACCCCAATACTGTGGCTCAGTTTTAATGAAGGTCTTTTTTTAACTTAAAAAAAAATTATTTATTTGTTTGGTACAGGGTCTCATTACACAGCTCAGACTCATAGTAATCCTCCCATCTCAGCCACCTCATTGCTGGGATTACAAGCATGGGCCATCACACCTGGATTTGGTGGACAGCTCAGCATGCCCAGGATTCTGGGGTTGGCAAGGCATGGGGTACCGGGGACTGAGCTCTGGACCTTGTGCTTGCCAGGCAGGCACTTATGCCATTGAGCTATCTCCCCAGCCCCAATCAAGTCAGTTTTGCTGCACTGTGTTGCCACCTACCCCTCCGTTGTACCTTTGGACAAGCTTGTTAACCTAATGTATTAAATCTCAGTTTTTGCGCTGTAAAATGCCTTTAGCGTTTTAAAGAGCAAATTAGATTATCATGGGAAGACATCTTTTGGTAGGCAGTGATGAAGTGAGAGTCTCAGGCTTTCTGATGGTTGGGAATTGCTCTAATTGGTTCCCTGACATATGGAACTTGGGATCTTAAAAATGTGGACTGAGATTGCAGCCTTCCAGAGAAAATGCTTCATCTTCAAGCAGAGAAGGAAGCCCAGAGAGCTGAAAGGATGGCTCCCAGCCACGTCACTAGTTAGCTCCCAACAGGGACTAGGACGCCATGGACCTTGGTGGCCCATCATGCGCCGTCCACTAATGGTACCTTGTGATATTGATGTCAAACACATTTGTAAGTCCAGCTTCAACACCAGTTGACAATTAAGGGAATATTACTAGAAAACAAAAACAAACCTAAAAGTAAAGACTCTGCTCCACATTTGCTTCTAGAATGCATTTATAGGTGAGAGTCTTCCTTGGGAGGGGACTTGGGCTGGCTATTTCCTGAAGGGAGCTTCTGGAGGGTGGCAGACTCTCTATCTCCTCAGTGCAAGAGAAGAGCTGCACTGGGTCTCAGAGGCATCTTCTGTCCCCACAGGGGGAGGCACTGCTCTACCTCCCCTGTCTCTGTGGGATCCTGCACTCAGTTGTACATTTCTGTATTTCTCAACACGCCAGCACCTCACATAGACATGTGGAATGAGTACTCTTTTTGCAACTTGGAAGCCTTGTACAGCATAGCAACTCAATAAATACCAGTATTACTACATACAGTGTGCTTGGAGCTCAGTTTGCACATCAAGTTTAAACATAATCAGAACTAATTATTGCACAATGTAGAATAGAAAAATATTAATTTTTTCCAAGTTTCCATAATTTTAGGACAGAAACCAAGGTATTTTGGGCAGGGAAGTTAGATCAGCTAGTTCTTTGGGGAGAAAGAGAAAGAACCTGGGTCTGGGGAACAGAAAGAACACTTCATCCATGTGAACCATTGTAATTAATTTCTGAAGTTGGGTGATGTTAAATGGATGCTTACTTTATCTTATTTTTTTCCCTCATATTTTTCTGAAATGTTTTTCAAAAACTGGTTGAACATGATTCCTTTTTTCATGTTAGAATTCCATACCTTTCTTTCTACCCCTTCCCTGTCCCTATTTACAAAACCTTTCCCCTCATTTTTTCCTTTTTTCTCATCATTTTAAAAATTATGTCCTCTCCTGGTAAAAATTTCCTCTGATGAATGTGATCATTATTCATATTTTAAATCATCCAATAAACATAATTAATAAAAAGTCAAACTAAAGACCTTAAAAAAATTGGCTTAACAGAAAATAAATTATTTGAAAATAGAATTTCCAAATCTTTAAAGCATGAGATCCAATAATACTACTATACTAAATCCTATACTTAAATCTTAAAGAGTTTATTCTCCTCTTACTAAGAAATTTTAATAGTAGTCTTATCATAAGGCTTTGATTTTCTGCTTGCTCCTATTTCCTGGGCTTCAGCAGCGAGTGGATCTAAGTCTGAATCTCAGCTCTGCACTCTCCAGTGCATGGCGCTTTAAGTCACTTGATGCTGTGGTCCTTGGTGCTGTGGTCCTTGGTGCTACGGTCCTTGATGCTGTGGTCCTTGGTGCTGTGGTCCTAAGCTCTAGACTCTTCTCTGTGCAAACAGAGAACTATCCCATTTGGCTTGAGGGTCGTTATGAAAATGGTGTGAAACAAAAAGTGAAAGGCATTTTCTGTGGCGCCTAGCACAAAGTAGATCTTCAATTAACATCAATTTCCTCGTTTCTGTCCATCCTTCCAGATTTCATCACTAATTGAGATTTTGCCTTTAAAAGGTATAAAAAAGAAAGACCAATACAAAATACTTTTGGGGAGGATGAGGTTTAGGTGCTTAAATAATTTTTAAATCCTTGACTCGCAACTTGCTCTAAATGAAGAGGTTTGAGCTCTGTTCTGCTTCTGTCACCTGCTACTAGTGGAACCTGCTAAGCTTCCTTTAAGATTGTTGTTTTCCTATTCTAAGTGGATTAAACGAGCCATTTAGTTCAAACATTGGTAAGAGTTTTCAATTATCTACTGCTATGTGCAGCAACTGCACAACAGATGAGACAACACACCTCTGGTGGGACATACTGACCATGGACGTGCGACCTTGTGGAAACTACTCCCAGCCTTCTGCTGGACACTGGGCACGGGCTCCAGCCTTTCCTTACCAAGGTGCTGTCAGGCCAGAGCTTGCTCAGGACTCGGGCCCGTGCTCCCAAGGGAGCCCTACCTGTTAGAAGCAGTTCAAAGAGGGCAAAAGGATGCACAATTAATGGTAAGAATTTTTCCTTGCATTTCTTCCTTCCTTCCTTCCTTTATTTATTTTCTGTATTTTAGGGAAGGATCTACAGGGAGTTCAGGGTCTCATTACTAGATCAGACTCGTAGTGATCTGCCTGTTTACAGCCTCCCAAGAGCTGTAAACAGGCATATGCCATCATACCCAGTCTAAGGATATATTCTAATGTTTGTTTGTTTGTTTGTTTTCATACCAGGGATTGAACTCAAGACCTTGTGCTTGCCAGGCAGGTGCTTATGCTGCTGAGCTATCTCCCAGGCTTCCCTGCATTTCTTTTTAAGCTGAAAGCACCATACTATTAGAGTCCCATAAAAACCTTTATTTTAAAGATGAAAAAAGCCAGATAGAACAGAGTAAAATACTCTGAAATAAAAGCATGCGATAGTCATTGGAAGGCGGGGTTGTGTCTTGGGAAAGATGACAGCGGTGAGGAGAGAGGCAGGGAAGGCACGCCCTCCCCTACCTCCCTTTACCCAGGGCAGTCTAGCCCAAGCGACCCGGAGACCACAGGCAAAGTCTCGAGAAGACCGTTCAGAGAAAGAGCAGCCTGCTTGGGCCTCGCCTGCGTGGGATTGCGTGCCGACACTAACTGCGCTTCCCTGCATGGCTGCTCCCTCCTCCACCCTGCCCTCCTCTTCTGTGCTATGCTGGGTCTCTGCAGCTGTGCGTGCCAGGCTCCCTCTTGGCTGCATCTCGGCCTCACCATCTGGCTATGCTAGGCCCTGGGGGCAGGGGCCGGCAGGGGTGTGGCCACTGCGGGGGTGTGGCCACTGCGGGGGTGTGGCCACTGCGGGTGATGACCATGACCTTGCAATGGTGAAGGTGTAGACTAGTTTCCCCAAACCAATAGCTTTGCGCAGAATTTTATGATTAAGGAACAAAAATTTTAAACCTTGAATAGATCTAATTAAACTCTTTCCAAAATTCCAAAGATCATTGTTTATCTTTGAAAAAAGTTGGGTTTATTTTAAAATTCTTTGTTGACTACATCTTCTCTTCTCTCCTCCCCATCCCATGACTACTCAAGCAAGCGAGGAACACAAGATGGAAATAGCTCCTTGCCTTCGTGTGGGAGGGCTTTGCACAGCACAATCTCTCATCTCTTAAGATAACTGGATGAAGGTGGTAGCGTTTGCTTCCTTGCCTTGCCCAGCAAGAACACTCAGTCATTGAAATGCTAACTAATTTGCTCAAATTCACATCGACAATTTAGAGATGAGCCAAGCCCAGGACCCAGAAGAAAAGACCACACAAGTCAGAACTGACTTCTAAGCATCCATTCTTTGACATATAAATGGTACCTGTAGGTACTGGCAGGAGCGTTCTTGTTGACACGACTCAGACTTCACCATCGCCTGGTCCATGTTCACAGAGGCTTTCTGGTAAACCTCCCGGGCCCGACTCACAGTGAGAGTAGAGGACCAGGCACTCTTCTTTAGGAGTGGGGCATCCAGGTTCATGGGCAGGTTGGCGCAGGTGGAGCACTTGACGTCATTGTTGCTTCGGGAGGCTTTCACTGCCTGCTCGCTGAGGGTGTTATAGGCCTCCATGAAGTACTGGGAGGTCGAGCGGTCGGGGCACCTGCCCATAGTCATCACACCCGAGGGTGCATGGTAGATGCACATGTCGCCGTCGAGGTTGTCATCAGAACTCCACCAGCCAGGTGAGGAGGTGGAGGTGGGCGTGGCATTGGACCGGGTTTTGGGCTCCACCCTCCGCTCCTTGCTCTTGCTGCGCTTGCCATACCTCGCGGACTGTGTCTCATCAGGGCTGGCCTTGCCCCCGTTGATGCTGCCCTTAGACGGCCCCTCCAGGGAGTGAGACTTGGTGAACAGCTTCTGGACCGAGTGGACCAGGTGCCGGATGCGCCCCGGGCTGTCGCTGCGGTGCTCCACGGCGGTGCGCTTGTACTGCAGCGTGTGGTAGCCATCCCGGTTGAGGGGTAGCTGCCTCTCAAACTGGTCCAGCAGATTGGCAGGGATGCGGTTCGCCTTGGTGGCCAGTGTGCGTGGCACCAGGGCACACTCGCCCTTGAGCTCCTGCTGTGAGGCGTAGTGCCTGCGCGGAAATGTGCTGCTGGCCAGGGGGTCGCTGAAGGGGCCTCCGCACTCGGCCTGGAAGGAGTTGCGCTGCGTGTAGTAAGGGTGGTCGGCGGGGTGGTGCTCCACCGGGCTCAGCAGGTAGGGCTTGCGGTCCGAGTGGTGGGACAGTGAGTCACAGGCCGCGTCACAGGTGATCCCGTGGTGATGACTGCGGCTGCCGGATAACCCTTTCATTGCTGCTGGCCAGCACCCGCGGGGGGCATGGGCACCCCGTCCTTAAGTTCCGGACCCGTGTTGGGTAAAGCCTGAGGGAACGAACAAGAGAAGAAACACGGTTAGTGCCCACACACTGCTCATTGTGGAGGTGCTGTCTGCCACAGGGCTGGATTACTGGCAGAAATTAACTGCTGTCTCCAGACACGGCTGTACTGCGCTGCTGGAAAAAAGCTCTCCTCAGTGTCGGCGCGGAAGCTCCCACCCAGGCCAGAGCTGAGAGAGGACTGCATTAGGAAAAGGACAGTACATGATGCTAAATGTCTAGCAAATTATTTGGAAGAGTATGCTATGATTTTAGATCTAGAATGTTCCTCAAAAGTGTTATGTATTTAGAGATGGGTCTTTTGCAGGGTGACTGGATCATGGGGCGCTATATGTATGAGTAAATTTATGCACGAGGGAGTTTATAGGTGCAGGCATTATTAAAAGGAGGAGCCTGGTCAGAAGAAGGGGGCCACTGCAAGCCTGAGCTGGAAGCATGTGTTCTCCCCTCTTTCCCTCCCTTGTTCTCTGCTTCCTGGCTGCCATGAGACAGGGAATTTCCTCTGCCAGCCCCACGCACTGTGCTGCTTCCACCTGGAGCCAGGTGCCATGGACTGGGCGTGTAGGCGCTGTGAGCCACAGTGAACTCCTCTTCAGGCTGAGGATGTCAGGTCTACTGTCCCAACTGCAGGAAAGTGACTAGCAGAGTAACTCTGTCTTTTTGTAGTGTACCAGTAACTGAATGTCTCTTTCCTTTACTTTCCTGATTTTGTCCTTAGTTGTGTGTTAACCCTGAAGTTTTTACACAAAGCTGTAGGCTCCCATGGAAAGCCTTGGGTGGCAGCTCTGGCAGAGAGAATCCTGTCCTTTGCCACATCTAATGCACACTTCGCAGAGCTTACATAGTTGTTCCTGGCTCTCTCCTAGCTTAAGTTCCTCACAGCCAGGCTTATTTCTTAGTCACTTTTATGACCCTCTGCCTGCACTGGGGTAGCTCTGTAGGGACACAGTAAGTACTCCCTAAGTGGGCATAAAAATGTGAGTGACACACAAGATGAACAGAAAAAGCCAACAGCACTTTAAATCTTCAGGCTATATATTTTTTTATCTTCTGTCACAAATTTTCTATTTGGAATTTTTTTTGGGGGTACTGGGAATCAAACTCAGGACAATGTACTTGCTAGGCACGTGCTGTGCTGCTGAGCTATATCCCCAACCTTACATTTGGCATCTTGTAGGAACAATTACAGCATGCAAACAACGGATCCCGTACTAGTCAGAGTTGAGAAGAGTAAAGGTGTAGCAAGTAAATCTGAGAGAGAGAGAAAGAGAGAGAGAGAGAGAGAGAGAGAGAGAGAGAGAGAGAGA